GCTGACTTCACTTAGAATGACAGTCTCCAGGTCCATCCATGTTGCTGCAAATGGCATTATTTTATGCTCTATTTTATCACTGAGTAGTATTCCACTGTATAAATATACCACAGCTTCTTTATCCAGTCATCTGTCAGTGGACATTTAGGCTGTTTCCATGTCCTGGCCGTTCTATACAGTGCTGCTATGAACATTGGGCTACATGTATCTTTCTGAATTAAGGTTTCCTCTGGATATGTGCCCAGGAGTGGGATTGATGGATCCTATGGCAAGTCTATTTTTAGTTTTCTGAGGAATCTCCATCCTGTTTTCCGTAATGGCTGCACCAAACTGCACTCCCACCAGCAGTGTGGGAGGGTTCCCGTTTTGCCACGCCCTCTCCAGCGTTAATCGTTCATGGACTTTTGAATGGTGGTCATTCTGATTGATGTGAGGTGATACCTTATTACAGTTTTGATTTATGTTTCTCTGATGATTAGCGATACTGAGCATTTTTTCATGTGCCTCTTGGCCACTTGTATGTCTACTTGAAGAATTGCTTGTTTAGGTCTTCTGACCATTTTTGGATTGGGTTGTTTGGTTTTTTTGTTAGTAAGTTGTATGAGCTGTTTATATATCCTGGATATTAAGCCCTTGTCAGGTGCGTCATTTACAAATGTTTTCTTGCATTCTGTAGGTTGTCTTTTTGTTCTGTTTATGGTTTCCTTTGCTGTGCAAGAGCTTGTAAGTTTAATTAGTTCCCATTTGTTTATTTTTCCTTTTACTTCATTGCCTGGGTACACTGCCCTAGGAGATCATTGCTGAGATTTATGTCAGAGAATGTTTTGCCTATGTTTTCTTTAAGAGGTTTATAGTTTTTTTGTCTTATATTTAAGTCTTTAAGCCATTTTGAGTTTATTTTTGTGTATGGAGTGAGGGAGTGTTCTGGCTTCATTGATTTACATGCAGCTGTCCAGTTTTCCCAACGCCACTTGCTGAAGAGACTGTATTTTCTCCATCATACATTCTTGCCTCTTTTGTTGAAGATTAATTGACTATAGGTCGGTGGGTTTATTTCTTGGCTCTCTTTTCTGTTCCATTGATCTGTATGTCTCTTTTTATGCCAGTACCATGCTGCTTTGATTACTGTAGCTCTCTACTGCTGTCTGAAGTCTGGGAGGGCAGTGCCTCCAGCTTCATTCTTTTTCTTCAGTATTGCTTTGGCAATTCTTGGCCTTTTGTGATTCCATATAAATTTTAGGATTATTTGTTCTAGTTCTGTGAAAAATGTCCTGGATAATTTGATAGGGATTGGATTAAATCTATAGATTGCTTTGGGTAGTAATTTTAACAATATTAATTCTTCCAATCCAAGAGCATGGGATATCTTTCCATTTCTTTAAATAATCTTTAATTTCCTTAATCAGTGTTTTGTAGTTCTCCTTATATAAATCTTTCACTTCCTTGGTCAGATTTATCCCTAAGTTGGTTTTCTTTTGATGCAATTTTAAAAGGGATTTTTTTTGAACTTTTCTGGTGTTTCATTGTTAGTGTAAAGAAACACAACTGATTTCTGAACGTTAATCTTGTATCCTGCTACCTTGCCAGATTCTTTTATCTGCTCTAGTAGTTTTTGTGTGGAGCCTTTAGGGTTTTTTATACATAATATCATGCCATCCCACATACAGTGACAGTTTTACCTAATTTCTTTTTCTTGTCCCCTTGGCTAGGACTTCCAATCCTACGTTGAATAGAAGTGGTGAGAGTGGGCATCCTTGTCTTGTTCCAGATTTTATCGGGATGGCTTTCAACTTTTCATCATTGAGTACGATGCTGGCTGTGGGTTTGTCATAAATGGCTTTTACTATGTTGAGATTTGTTCCCTCTGTACTCTCTTCGGTGAGAGTATTTTTATCATGAATGGCTGTTTGATTTTATCCAGTGCTTTTTCTCCATCTATGGAGCTGACCATGTGGTTTTTGTCCTCTAGTTGATGTGGTTATCACACTGATTGATTTGTGTATGTTGAACCATCCTTGTGTTCCTGGGATGAATCCAGTTTGATCATAGTGTATGATCTTTTTAAGTGTGTTGTTGGATGCTGTTCGCTAATGTTTTGTTGAGATTTTTTGTGTCTATATTCAATTTTTTTTCTTGTTAATTCTAGTCTCATAGTGTTGTGGTTGGAAAAGATGCTTGATACGATGTAAATTTTCTTAAATTTACTGAGGCTTGTTTTGTGGACTAGCATGTCATATATCCTGGAAAATGTTCCATGTGCACTTGAAAAGAATGTGTATTTTGCTTTTGGATGGAATGTTCTACATGTATATCCACTTAGTCTAATGTGTCATTTAAGGCTAGTGTTTTGCTGTTGATTCTTCTGTCTGGGTGATCTGTCCATTGATGTAAGAGGGTGTTAAAGCCCCCACTATTACTGTGTCAATTTCTCTTTTTATGTCAGTATTTGCTTTATGTATTTAGGTGCTTATATATTTATTATAATTGTTAAATCTTCTTGGATTGATTCCCTGGATGTGTAACGTCCCTCTTTGTCCCTTGTAATCTTTGCTTCAAAGTCTGTTTGTCTGGTATAATCATTGCCCCAGCTTTCTTTTGATTTCCATTTGCATATGGAGTACTTTTTCCATCCTGTCACTTTCAGTCTGTGTCTTGAGATCTGAAGTGGGTCTCTTGTAGACAGCGTTTATCTGTGGGCCTTGCTTTTGTATCCGTTCAGCCACTCTGTCTTCTGACTGGACCGTTTTGTCCATTTACGTTTGAAGTAACTGTTGACAGGTATGCATTTATTGCCATTTTAAAATTGTTTTGGGGTTTTTGTGGTTTTGTCCCTCCTCCTCTTGTTCTCTTCTCTTGTGATTTGATGACCATCTTTAGTGTTATGTTTGGATTCCCTTCTCTTTGTTCCAGGTTCTCAAAAGTATTATTTTAATTGGTATAAATACTGGATTTCTTTTGTGTGTGTGTCTGTGTGTGTGTGTGTGTGTGTAAAATAGAGTTTTGGTTTGTGGTCACCGTGAGGCTTACATATAGCGATCTATCTGTCTATCTGAGTATTTCAAGTTGCTGATCCCTTAATTTCAAACGCACTTTTAAATCCCTGCAGTTTTACTCCCCTCCCCTCACGATTGCTCTTTCTGACGTCGTGCTTTACGTCTTTTTGTGTGTCCTGAACCGCCTGTTGTGGACACGGGTGATTTTCACTCCTTTGTCTTTAGCCGTCCTGCTGGCTTTGGACGTGGCTGACTTACCGGCTTCCCTGTGTGTTTGCCTTTACCGCTGAGCTCGTCTTTCCGTAATTTTCATGTTTCTAGTTGCCTTTTCTTTTTTGCTTGAAGAAGTCCCTTTAACGTTTCTTGTAAAGCCGTTTTGGTGGCGCTGACCTCTTAGCTTCTGCTTGTCTGTAAAGCTTTCAGTCTTTCTATCAGGTCTGAGCAAGAAGAGCCTTACTGGGTAGGGTGCTCTTGGTTCTAGGTTTGTCCCTCCCATCACTTTAAATATATCATGCCACTCCTCTGGCCTGCAGAGTCTCTGCTGAAAAGCCAGCTGACAGCCTCATGGGCGTTCCCTCGTGTGTTACTTGTTGCTTTTCCGCTTCTGTTCTTAGCATTCTTGGTTTATCTGTAATTTTTGCCATTTTAGTGACTGTGTCTTGGTGTGGTCCTCTTTGGGCGATCCTGTCTGGGGCTCTGGCATGAGAGTGGGGGAGATGTGGGCCAGAGTGCTTGCCCTCCCCTCCCTCTCCGCTCCTCCCCGCGGGCTGAAGGCAGACGCGGCGCGGGTGCGGTGACTTCCGCCACGTGGAGGACGACAGCACCCTGGCATGGCAGGGCGGCAAGGTGGAGGAGCCCTGGGTCCGGGGGGGACCACAGGAGCAGAGCTGCTCTGCCCACGGGGCCACTCACCTCAGGTCCGTTAGAGGAGAGAAGTAACGTTCTGTTCTGTTTGCCCCAGAGCATCTGGGGACCCTTCTGTCAGGGCGGCTTAGCCTGCGCCGTGACTCACCCAGCCCCCAAGCCCCCGCCAAGCCCTGGGCCTCCTAGGCGGAGACAGCTGGCCGCGGTAGGAAGTGAGTGAGGTGAGGGCTCGGGAGACAGGCCTCCCTCCAGGCGTGGATGCTCATTTGTTGTGTGACGCTGGGGAGCTCACCCGGCCTCTTCAGGCCCCTCTAAGCCCTAGTCCTCCTCGTAACTTGCTTCCAGGGATATGAGGGGCGACCGTGAACCTTCGGTTGTCAGGCAGTGGTCAGAGCTTTTTATTAGGAAGCTCCTGAGGTTGGAACCCTCTGCCTGTCTGCAGATGCCAGGGCCAGAGCAGGGGCCACTGCAGGAACGTCTCTTCGGGCCTCTTCTGCTTTTGAAATTAACGTGCAGTGAGGTTGACTTTTCGGAGAGGGACATCAGTTCCAAGAATCCTAACACAGTGTAGACTCACGTGGCCAGACACGAGGCGCGGCGGTGTCTGTGGGCCGTCCCCGCGGCCTCTGCCCAGGAGCGCCTGCTGGTCCCGGGCTCCCCCTGGCCCTCCCT